GTTCAGCAAACTTTCTTCCTGCAAGTGCTCGAAGTGCTATACCAGCTGCCTCTGCAGAATCGAATCTTACAAAAATCTTTAATAAATAAATAAATGTAATTAGAATTTATTTGATCAATTGATTAAATTATATAAAAATAAATGATATACCTTGCCAACACCAGTAGTTGATTGACCTGGTCTAGGAATTTTCATATCAATGATGCAACCAAATTTAGAACATTCTTCTCTAACATCCTCAACTATATCTATTTTATTATAATAATAATTTTGTTTGATTATTATGAAGAAACAAAAAGCAGCATTTAATAAAATATAATAGTAACATAAAAAACAACCCTCATATTCTTCATCATCTACTAATTCCTCAGAAGTAACCATATTAAGAAGTTGAAGAACAGTAGTTGGTTGCATTTCTCCACTTCCAGCTGGAATAAGAACCGAAGATGACAGAACTACTGCCATGCCCAAGTTCTTAGCTGATCCAATACTAGCTCTTTGGACTACTAATTTACGATCACTAAGCTCCATATTGTTTAAACCTTGACAAGCTAAATCTGTCACGCTCGGATCAAGATATTCACAAAATGCAAAACCCTAAACAAAACCCCAAAAAATATAATTAAAATTAAGCAAATCAATACACATATATCATATTTATTTTATTATTTTAACCTTGGAAACACCTGATAAAATATCTTTGACTAAATTAAAAGCTCTCAATTCTCCAAAAGATTTTAAAAGCTCCATAACTTGTTCATCATTTAAATAGGTTGGTAGACCACCAATAAAAATTTTATTTGGGCTATCAGGTACATTTGTAGATACAACTCCTGGCACATGTATTGGTGGTGGCTCAAGATTTTGTCCAGGTAGAGGTTGATAATCTTTTGGTCGACGAATCTTTAATGATTGGCCTTGAAATGTAATTCCATCAAATGCCATTGCAGCTGTAGCTTCTTCAGGTGCATGAAACTATTAAAAAAATTTTATACAATAATGATTATTATTATTTAATGAATAAAATAACCACAGAAAAAAATATAGACAAGTATAATAGTTATTATTAATATTTATTTAAAATGGAAATAATTATTACTTCAACAAATGCATAGTTTTTATCATGATTGATTTGAACAGCTGTAACTGGATTGCTG